AATCCAATAATATAATAATAAATAATATATAATATTAATATCAATATATATTTATTATTTTAAAAATTATTAAAATTATTAATATATTTATATATTTTTCCAATAATTAATAATTTTAATAATATAATTTATTATATATTAATATATATTTATTTTATAATTATAAAATAAAATTTAAAATATAAAAAATATTTTTTATTATATAAAAAAAAATATATAAATAATTATATATAAATTATTATTATAATTTATATATTATTCAAATATTTAATATCTAATAAAAAAAATATAAATATATATATATAATTTCAAATTATATTCAAAAAACAAAATTCGATTAAAAAATAAATATATATTAATAAAAATTATAAAAATATATTTAAATATAAAATATTATAAAATAATAATAAATCAAATAAATAATTATTAAATATTTTCAAAAAAAATATTAATATTTTTTTTTTCCAAATTATAATTCCCAATATATTTTTTAATAAAAATTATAAAAAGAAAATGAATGATGGGGTACCTAACAATTAGATAAGGATTTATTCAGAACCTTCTAAATTACAAATTACATTAATAGAACCTTTTCAGATTGGAATATGAACATGTTTCTTAATAAGGATTGTACAGAGGAATATATTAATATTTTTAAAAATTATTTTAATTTGATTTATATTATTTTTTATAAATACCCATTCGGGTATATAGTTTGGTGAAACCTTTTCTGGATCAGATATCACGGGACCAAAAAAAATATTTAAATATGGAAAATAAAATTGGGTGCCATGATGTTGGTTTATTCTAGTTTTCCCCACGTCTTTTGGTCCAATGATGTCAAATACATACACCCAGTTGGGCGTTAAACATGGTGAGCGTAGACAGTTCACCGCACCCAGGTCTGTGGCTTTTCAAAAAAACATCCGTTGGAAGCCTGGGAAAAATCCTGCATCTCCCAAGCTAGCAAGCAGTTGTCGCATGCCGGAGGGGGCAGGTTGCTACTGTGCCGCGCTCAAGTCATGAAAAACAACAAAGGACACTCAAGTGTCCGGCAACTTTTTGCTGAATTTGGTTGGTGCTTGTTTCATTCTGACATATTCAGGCCCCAGAGAATAGCAAAGTCAACTGGGACGATCACAGTTGTAGGGATCATCAATAATGAACTCATGACCTGAACTTCCTGGACCACACTTTCCAAGTGGAAATCGCACCAGCAGGATGCGGCTAAAAGGGTAGCTGCAAATGGTTGATTCCAGGTGCATCGCACTAGAACTCAAAAGATGGCGTATAAGTACCAACAAACTTGTTCAACTCATCTGTTGTATTCCAAGTGCAAGGACTCCCAACGCTTCTTTGATTTGACTCTTGAAAACTCGGTGGGACCTTTTTCAGGCACTTGAGGCTTGCCAAAAACGACATTTAATGACATTTAGTGATGTCCTAGTGCTTCAAATTTGCCATCCTGGGTCAGAGCTCACTTCATAAGGCTCTGGGGAAGAGATCTTCACTTACTGCTGCTCATCTGCCCCGGCAGATTGGGCGACTCGTCATCTCGAGTGTACAGCAACCTCCAAAGGGATCATTACAGTGGGTAACAACCACATGGACCTCAGCTACGTATGAACCATATAGTCAACCCTAAAAATGTCATACTATTTTAGGATTTATCAACATGTATTTTTTTGTTTTTTTGGGGGTTGCTATTAGTAATGTGGGTTGTAACATGGTGTGACCATTTACCACAAAGCGTCCAGGACACATCCTTCCTAAACGTCAACACCATGGTGAAGCGCTTGCATAGAATTCGTGGCAAATTCATACCTGTTGCAGGACTTTTAGAGGAACATCTACATTACATATAGGTTTAACTTGGAGGTTTGATTCCCCATTTCTTCTCCAAACGGTTCAGGCGCTGGTCTCTCTTGGCGCGGTCTTTTACAATTTCCCACTTCCCTCAAGCTCCCACAATCAACCCACATCGGCAGCAATCATCAATCCACATCCGTCAGCCATGCAACAAATATTCAGGATATAGTTGCCCAGTGTTTGAAACACAATACTCCCGCGCATCGCGGTTGAAGGCAAACTTCCTGTCGCCAAGGACCTGGTTGTGAATGGCATCGCGATTCCTGGTGGTCGACTTCGGATTTATTGATTCTTCTGTTAATATCTGATAGTTTTACATGCTGAAAAACCTGGGTAAAAAACTAGAGTAGTTTTGATTGAAAAAAATATCAGAGGGTTCCACCAAAATTGAGCAGGTAATTTCACCATGAAAGCAGCAAGGATTACAGTTACTAGTACCAGGAGAATCTGATGGAATCGATGTGTTGTTTTTTTTGCCCATACTAGGGTTCATTGGAAGCCCCCATGAGCGTCACGCACTTTTTTGTTTGAGTGCACGATGGGTAGTAGCCAGATCGAGCCATCAATTGGCATTCACCATGGTCAAACTGTCCAACTAAGAGTCTCTAGTTTGTTTCTTCATGTTGTTTACACAATATTGATTCAGAACTCTTTCATGAGCTGCAAGAAGCGCCATCGCCACCGCAGCTTTTCAGGCCCCCCGAGGGGAGCCTGAGCTAGAAGCCGCTGCGCGGCCGTGTCAAGCAGACCAGAGGGATCGGCTCAGGGATTCAAGATGGGAACGAACCTTGTTCACAACTTCGGGACTATCACAATCAGATGACCAACCAAATCGAGCGAGAAGAATGTTGTCAGGGGCTTCGAGAGGGTGAGGGTGACAGGGGCAGACCCAAGCCAAATGGTAAAAAACAGTACTCACCACATTGCCATAGACAAGGTTCTGAGACACCAGTGGATATGCGTAGTCAGGCAGAGCTAACAAAGGATATTAAACCCATCGTTCTGGCATGAACATCGGAGAGGATCCAATTTCGAGTAGGTTCAATATCGAGACGACGGAAGGCCGCCCAGTGATCGTTCAGAGAACTCTTGACTTCTTCAGATTCGTGTCGACCACTGTTCAGAAAATTTTCCCACTGGGAAGCACGAAAGCCTTGTCTGAGAACGTGAGAGAGATAGTCACGGTCAGGTGCACCTTATTAGAGTTTATTACTAGCGCGCTATAGGTAGTTAATAGACGGCTAGCCAGAGAACTTCCAGGTGAGAATTTCCGCCTAAGAACAAGGCACAAACATGCTTGTTTGCCACATAACATTTTCCATCGCCTCGGCGGACAGCCAACCAGAGACCCGACGAAGCAGCAGCGGTCGGAAGCTGGGAGATCCAGCCATAGGAAGCCTGAAGCATGGCAAACAAAGCAACGTATTGATATGTATTGACGAAAATAGTGGGAAAGGAAGTTGAACGGAAGCCGACATGGAAATGGTTTGAGAAGCCTTGGCAAGGCGTTTTTCTTCGTCAGGACGCAAACGACGACGACAAACAGCAGTGTTAGCACCCAGGACACGAACAGGGGACTGGACAAAGGATGCAAGATGGTCAGGGATGGGCAGGTTGGGCGGTTTGACAGCCAAGGAGACCTTGGACTCGTTTTCAATCAAGCCAACTTGACCGGACCATTGAAATTAACCAGGCGTTCCTATGGTGAAGCAGCGACTCAGCAGAGGCAGAGACGACAGAACGAACATCCCTATACAACACAGTTTTAGCGGGAGCAGCATCAGAGTGGACCGCACGACTGACAGTGTTGAGAGCGGAGGTGGTCCACAGCAAGCAGAGGACGGGGGCCCATGGGGGATGGAGCAGACAAGGGAGTACCATGGAGACAGCCTTGGAAACAGACCCACCGTTGTTGATTGGCCCAGACATCCTCACAGACATTTGACCAGCCACCAGGAAGACCGAAGTCACGCATTAGTTGAGAAGAGCAATGAGCAGACAATGTGTCAAAACATGTGGACCAGTCGAGACTTAAGAGATATCCGTAGTTGGCAAAGTCTTCGGTGATTTGATAGAGGCAGCACCTTGGATAGAAGAACTGCGACGAGCAGTGAGTTCGCTGCGAATGTGTTGACGGATCCAGAGTTAAAAGCTGAGATGAAAAATCTTGGAACTGTTCCAGATTCTCCGAAGTGTTCAAGACCGTGATATAGGTCGGGTATGAACGGAGACGGAGCCATTTTCAAACTTGCCAGGTTTGGGGCTAGTAGCCATTCTGGCCTGATGCATCTGTGCCGGAGCACGGCCGGCCAATGCCCAACGCTGCGCAAGATTCACAAACAAATAAATGGTCAGGGCCAGCGGATCCACGTTGCTTCTAAAGATGGAGATGATATGCTCAATTTCAAGGTCAGGGAACTCGGTCGGATGAATGGCAGGGAGCCCCTGACGAAGTTGAGCCAAGATTTGAGCTTCCGGAAGAGCATGGTGATTTTGCCAGAAGTCAAACCAATACTGATAGATGAAAGCCGCAGCCTGACTCAGTGAATCGGAACGGTGACCTTGGGGATTGACAACAGAGAAAACATTGGGATGAGTTTGGAATGAAGCCAACGGCTAACCGAGCGAATGTCATGGGCCATGCGCTGACGCCAATGGCCAGGCGATGACGCTTAAGCTGCTCAGTGGCGTGGGTGATGTCAAAGTGGAGTTGTTTCAGCTTGCGGACAATGTCGAGGATGCTGGGATCGACGATGTCGAGCTTGTGCACGAGCGCACGATAGACCGAAGATTCAGACCGAACTCCCAGCAGATGCAAGCGCTTGAACTCAGAGAGGCGGGCCAGCCTCTGGCGTTTATGTCGAAGATGAAAAGGCATGGCGTCGAGTTCAGGGCCACGATGGGACCACTGAAGCTTTTTGAACCGAGCAACGACACCTTTGGAACCAGAGCGCTTGCGACGACGCGCAGCATCGGAGGTGACAGCATCGGACAGATTCAGATAAGGATTTTCTGATTTTCTAAAGAACCCCATTGATTGTGAGGGTACTTCTTCCCTTTTGAGCCCAAAAAGGCAAATGCCTTCTAAGTTTTGGGCAGCCAAGGTCACAGGCAAAAGACCTTTCCATGGGCAGGTTCAAGGTATATTCGAAAATCAAGTTTCCAAATTTTGGATGGGGTCTTGCAGCCAAACTACTCCAACCAAATTTGTTCAATGCCCATGAGCCTCAAAGCAGCTTGGATCTGGGAGGGGCTGACCTTGAGTGCGCGCTTTGCCGCACAAGACCCATTGTAGGTGTTGTGGAGTGGGTGTGATGTGGGGAGGAGATTTCCACACCCTCCTCCCAAGAGCAGGTGGCAGAGGGTGTGCTTGAAGGCTTGTATGTCGGTTGTGTCGGGAGGGCGGATGAACATGGCAGTGCAGGAATGGAAGAGCTGCAAATAGCCTGGTCTGTCATTGTACACCTTCAAAGGAGGGGACCCACTGGACAGCCAGTAAAGCCGCATGAAATGAAGGTGGGAGACCGGGCATGGCATGAAGAGCATGTCAATGTCAAATTTGCCAGCCTCAAAACCGAGGGGTGGTCCTCAAACATATATGCAGCCTCTCGGCTATCGCTTCCACCTGTGCCCCCTGTCCACCTTGCACTGGCTCCTCCTCTTCCTCTTCTTCTACTACCCCATGCCTCTGCTTGCCCTGGTGGGCTTTACAAAAGTTTGTGCCATCTGCCTTCTGTCTCTTGCACCTGTGCCCTGACCAGGTCAAGGCCTCACAGCGGAATTTTCCTGCCAGGTGGGCTGGGCACAAAAGTATACACGAAGAACACTAGCTGTAGCGGTTGTAATGGTAATGTTTCCACGGGTAGATACATACAAACATACACACGTACAAACATATATGCATATATCAATTTACCATATGTTTGTATGCATGGGGCCTGCGGTGGCAGGCCAGTCCTGGAAGTGGAATAGAAGGGCCCACTTTGCGCCTTTTTTTGCTTCCTCCTTCCTCTGCACCACCTCTCCATCATTTTGGGGGTGTGTTCCTCCTCTGTGGGAGGATTGGCTTGGCCTGGTGGGATATCCTCAGAGGATGCAGGGGGCCCACCTCCAGCTTCTTCTTCTTCTTCAGTGGAGGTGCCCAGCTCCTCCTCCTTTTCAGCTTGAGGTTTTGCCTTTGCCTTGCCCTTGGCTTTGCATTTTGTGCTACTTTTTCTTTTTGGCGCTATTGTACCCATGGTCAGCAATGGCAAGCAGGCAAAGCAGCAATGTATTATGTTTGGCAGGCGAACTGCCAAACTCGGTGTGCATGGTGCAGCTGCAGAGATGCAGCTAAGGGCAACAAAGGCCAAAACGCATGCCATCTTGACTTGCTTCTTCATCGTGCTAGAAATAACTATACAGTAGGTAGAGAGGTACAAGGTATAAAGAATGGCAAAATATATGCCAATTAAAATGCAGGACATCTTGTCAGAAAATATGCCAGATAAAATGCAAGGCAGAATGCCAAAATATAAATGCCAAAGAGGATGCCAAAGATCTTGCAAGGATCTATGCCAGAAAGAAAGCACATCTGTATTCACTATTCAAATCAAATCTCTTGGTCTGTGCAACAAACCAACTTGATCTCTGGATCAGCTTGGTCCCTGTACCTCTGTAAACCAAGAAGAAGAAAGCAGAAAGAGCAGAAAGGAGTTGGTGCTTAAGGTGAACCAATGCTGGCCCCCCCTGGTTTCCCAAAAAAAACTTGGGGCCGACCATCCAACAACCATCAACTTCACTAGATCCAGAGGCATCCTGCCCATCCCCATCCCCATCCGCCATCACCATCCACCCTTGGTGAAGCCCAGTGACACTGTCGTATTTGCCTTCTCGGACCACATGCTTTGCTGAAACCATGCGCTTCAATCGTCCTCCCCGCCACTTGGTGTACCTACCCACCAATGCAGGCCAATGCATTCAGATTGGGACCATGGGGATATAGATTTCTATGGACTTTGGATTATACATATATATATATATATGATTATATATGATTATATATGATTATATATGATTATATATAATATATAGTATGCATTATATATATATATTATGTACACAGTTTGAATTTTCAAGACAAGAAAGAATGGTAGCGTTGCCTCCATCTTGCAACTCAAGCAAGCTGGATCTTACCCCATGAACACTGTCTAGTGCTAAAAAACAAAGATGGCACGTCATACATCCACAAATAAAGACAAGAAATATGTGCGAACGGCGTGGCATGAGAACATATGGAACATGCAGCGAGTGGCAACTCAACTCCGAAAATATTCAACGCGGTTCAGGCTACACCTAAAAGGCAACAATCCTTTTGGAAGTTGTTTCCTTGTAAATATCCAGTAAAATCAACACATGATCAGTCCCCAATGTCAGGGTATGCTTCAACGGTCTGCTCAAAGCTGCCTAGATCTGGTATACACACGTTGTATCTGGAATTCCTACGATATACAATGAACATCATATGTACGAATCAATGAATGTTTAGATATCAAGATCAAACATACATATATGATCATATGGAGGTTTCATAAGTCATGGGGGGTACCCCAAATAATCCAAGTCATGGATGACCATGACTTAGTACTGGAACAACGATGGTGATTTGGGGTTATTTGGTTTATAAAGCCATTAATCATTAACTATAGATAAACACCATAGAATTCACCATGTTTACCAGGGATCCACCATGACGAAACCCCAACTCATCAGCCAAATTCCATGAAAAATCACCATAAGCCACCATTAGATCTCACTAGACCCTATCACTCCATCACTTTAAGAAACCCCCATATGAGTGTAATATTGACACAACCATGGACCCCCATGGGCCCCCGTGTCAAACTTCTGGCCTCGTCTCAACGTAGACTCGACCAAGGGCAGCACGGACTAAAAGAATGGCCTGGGGGCTGCCGTGGCGGTCGCTACTGGCATCCATCATACCAAACAGCTGGTGAATTATTACAAGTTATAGTATGTTATAGTTGTATTTGGGTAGCAGTCTGAAAATCGGGTGTAGATCCAAATGCCGGAATCATATGGAATAATATGGAATAATGATTCTCCGAATGTTTTTAGCTAACATTGGAATTGGTTGTGGCATCTGCACTGCTACCCTCCGGTAAGCACACATGGCGATGGACAACACAAAATTTGCAGATGATGGTTCCATAAAAATGCCCATTTACAGGGGATTTACCATTGCCAAGTTTGAGTACCGAGGGGTACCTGATGATTGTTGATGGAAACCTCCGTTGGGACGGGGCACAGCTTTGGGTGAAAAGTTTCAACAGCCCAGTGAGGCTTGTAAGAGATAAGATACATCTGTCATGTAAACCTATACATATCTATATATATCTATACAATTATACATGATCATTACATGATCCGGCATTTTCTAGAATTCATGATCATTTTTTTTCGCAGAATCCCTGGAAGCATCCAGATCGATGCTCCGTGCCCTCAAAAAAAACCAATCTGAGCATCCACCATTGGAATTGATGAAACATTCATTAATCGAGGCTGCAGAATATCGGATTCAAGTGGGTACCCGAAAAAAAAAAAAATAGTTCACTCCAAACCAAGCCATGTGTTGCTCCAAATATCATCAAGGCCCAAGGCTCATGAAGCCCATCATCCCCAGCGGGGGAATACTTGTCCGCAAGGAAAGAGGTTTCCGCAAAATATGCGCCTGAGGGCCATCATCATTGAATCATCATAGGGAAGACCTGCCCTTGATACATGATCATGATGGTGATCATGATGGTGATCATGATGGTGATTATGATGGTGATTATGATGGTGGCGATGCCCTTGATAATTCATAATGATGGTGGTGATTATGATGATGAATATGAACATGAGTCCATGAGTATGAATATGAATATGGATGTAAGAGATGAGATCGAAAATCAATCTCGAATATTGGAAGAGCCAATGACAGCATGAAGGGACATACCGTCTTTTGACTCCTGGGAAGAGCAGAAAATGTAGAGTATTTGCTCACATTTATCACATTTATATATTGGAGGTTTCCTAAAATGGTGGTACCCCTAAATCATCCATTGTAATATGAATGTCAATTATAAATTATACACCAACCATATGGGGATCCCCATTGATGGAAACTCCCCATATATATAGATGAATATTCTTTTTCCACGGTCTAATTGACACATAAGCCAAGCAAATCTGCCTCTGCCAAGAGCTTTGGCATTCACAGTCCTTGGTGCTGCGGTGCTTTTTTGTGCTTGTCGCCCTGACATGAGCTGTGGAAGAATGTTGTTTGCTGTAACAGAACAGCAATACCAAGGAGACCCTTTTGGGATGCTTTTTCGCCCCTGCTCCCAACTTCAGGCTAGCTGCCCAGCACGCTTCATATCGAAATGGTGTCCTCGGTGCAGGAGAAAAAAAACAGTTGATTCTTAACATGAGACTGGTGTCCGAACACCAAAATCCCATAGTTTCTCATCTTTTTCCATTAAAAGGAACATTATCCTGGGTCATACCCCATTTCCAGACATCCCTGACCCACCCTGATCCTACAATCCACTTCTTGCGTTGCAAGGCGGAGACTTGTAAACGGCCGCGGTTTAACACATTTCTAGATCGCAGCTACTTCTGGATGCGCCACATTTTTTTGCTTACAAAAGCGTGGCCAAGAACATGTGTTTTCTTGCTATATTTACCTACTAGTACATTGGGGTATTTTTGGGGTATGTTTGCAGGCAAGCAATGGTATATGGTAAACATACCGTTGCAACGAATTTTCTGCCACTGAAGTCCTTCCAGGCTTTGGCCACAACCCATGTTCTCACTTCTCAAGCCCCACACTGAATAGCTGGGTTTAAGATGGTTTAAGTAAGGGAACATTTACGGGAAACAACATGATGGATTTTACTGCTATTTTTGTTGATTCCAACCGTAGATTTTGCCATCAACCACTTCTGATATGTCCTCTGCGAGTCTTCCGCCCAGACTCCTATGATATTTTCCGCTGATTTGCGATCCGTGCCATGCCACAAATATGCCTGCATTGGTGCTGCCGGTATGATTGATGTGGGGTTCGCAAATTGGCACAAATTGAAATCTTTCCATACTGCACAAACATGATGTTGGCACAAATGGGAAACCAGGACCATTAGACCAGCCACGATGGGGGTAATGGGATAGGGATTAACAAACTGGAGATGAAATGGGGACAAAAAACATCGGATGTGCAAAAAGGTCAGGCAAACCACATGGATCCCTGGACTGATGCAATTTCCTGTGGGGATGCCTAGGGCCTAGCTTTAGTAGCGAGTATATACCCTTTCCGAGCCCCGAGCGTCTAGTTTCCACCAGAATTCATACATTAAGAATCATTAAGACATGCCATGAATACCCGGTATGTTCTGATGAAGTCTGTGAGTCATTGCACAAACTCAAACTGATGCACACGCGAAGTCTCCTTTCTCCAATTAAAACACAAGCAGGACCTGGCCACTGTCCAGTCCTCGTTGCATTCGAGGCGTAAGCGCTCCATGAAACTATCTGGGGCCACTCTCCTGAGGCATACTGCTCTCCGGTCAAAACTAACCCCCCACTTTTTGCGCCCAACATTTAGCCAATCCGAAACCAGCTGTGGCTTTTGATGCATATTTCATGGTAGAGGGGTAGGGATTAGTAAGGCCGGCTTCATTTTTCTTTGAAGATCTGGGGATGAAAGCCGTCCTGATGCCTGAGGGCTGACAAATCTTTCACAGCGATCCTTAAATATCTTGTGAACTCAATGTCAATCTTCAGCAGAACACTATAGCGAGTTCTCCCTTTTGTATATCCCTCAAACACAGTTGTTAACCAGTCATACGCAAAGGGTTAGAGACAGGCTGCAAACAAAATCATAGAGCATCATACATCTTGATCAGCTTCACTAATCCAGTCATATGGCCATGTTGGAATACTTACCCTATTGACCATCATGTGCAACCATATATATATATATATTGTTGTATATATATATATATATATTGTATATCTGTATATATATATGTATTAGTTATATATATATATCTTTATAGTTATACAGTTACATACATATATATTGTATATATATATATCTATCTATCTATCTATATATATATATATATTGCATGTAGTTATATATATATAGTTATACAATTATACACATAATTATATATATAGACAATATTATATGATATATTATACGACAAGCATCAACCTGACGCACGAAGCTGCAGCCAAGGAACACTGTCAGCGGCTTAGGACAGAGAGTGCCAGAATGTGGAGTCCGAATTACCTTAGATCGTTGCCGAAGGATTTTTCGCCAACAATTGGGGATGAAAGGGGGATTATTATACAGACATAACAACCAAACATTTGATGTGTGGGTCCGAAAATGGGGTATGCGGGTATACCCCCGAATGGCCCTAAAATAACGGAGAACATGCTGATCAATTGCTGGATGGTTCCTGGAATTTTTCCATGGATTTTTCCCCAAAAAAGCCAAGCCTGAAATATCACGATCCTAGGATCGACCCTATGAGAAGCGTTCTTCCATGGTATATTTGGGAATCCTGATTCCTATCATGTGGGATGTGTGATGTGGAGTGGCAAATTTAGTATGGGTCAAATTTCATGTAGGATTGACATGGATTGACTCAATCATCAAACCAAAATCAATTAGGCATGGCTAAAAAGGCTAAACCGTATTATAACCAGTTAGTCATTGGGTACTCTAACTACAATACTTCGGTTTTCCGGTTTACACCATTCCTCCCCAAAGTGGATGTGTCAGTACAAAAACAGATGGAGTTCACGGAGTTCTTCCTTCCCATTGCCATGAAAACATGCTGATTTTGCTCAGTCCATCAGGGTGAATCTGTGCACAGAAAAAAATCGTTCAGGAAAAACCCAGTTGAGTCCATCATAGTCCATCTATCTACTGCAGGATTCATAGGATCATTATCTACTGTATATTAATGAGGATCATCTATCTTCATCAGAGTCCATCATTAGGATCATTAACGATCAATGGTGGGTTGATGAAGATTCATGGAGATCAACAGACCATAACAGACCAGTGCTGGCTGCATTCCCAGCCACATCTGCTGGCTCATCCTGGAGTCAAGTGCCAACTTGTTGTTCTGGGTTCACAACTTGTGAAACCACATGTGGCTATGGATCAATACCTATTAATACCATTTTTAGGGGGATGAACATCCATAAATCCCAGCTATTTTGATGTGAACTACAGGGGTACTATTGGTTTTGACACACTGCCATATGTCTTGGGTATGCTTAAGCTTGCCAAGGCCTTCGATTTCTACATGTTGTTATTTGCTTCAAGTTGGAGACAGCATTTTTTTCAGTGGATCTGGGGATGGCTCAAAACCAAAACCGTACCCCTAGTGCTCTGCTGTTCACCCCAAGTCATAGCTGGGATTTATGGATGTGAATAACCCACTAAAAATGTATCCAAAAAGGTATTGACCCATACCCATCTAGATCTCTAGACCGTCGGAAAGAACTATCACAGTCTCCCCCGGGCGCAAGTTGGTCGCATATGGGCTGACAACTGGTAATGTCAATCATTTCTTACTTGCTGCTTTCGGTGCAAGAGACATTTATAGCCCCAAAAAAACGACATGAGCCATTAAAAATACCCCTATCCCATCATACTAGTTGGTTGAAAACGGTTTCCCAATCCTATGGGTTATCATCATCCCCAGTAAACCAGGTAGGATTAAATCCCCATGCGCCTCTTGTGCACGAGCTTCAGATAGGCATGCCACACTCCTGGACCGAATTTTTGGCACCATTTGTGTCTATAGCCTCTGGTGAACTAACAGTTAGCAATGGTATAGATGGCCATAGAAATAGTGGATTTTCCCATGAAAAATAGTGATTTTCCATTGCTATGTTAGTTCACCAGAGGGTAGATGGTTGAAAAACGGTTCTACCAAATCGCAAAGCTTATGAACTCTGCGGAGTGTAGCATCTCAGTGTGTAGAAAATACATGCTTTGACATATTTTCTTGACATCATGCAGTATAGTGGCTTTGGACATTGCACCCTCCTACTGCCCTGCGCCGAGTCATACCTCTCATTTGTCTACCATCACTTGAAGGAATATGACTGTCGAAGAACACACGTGGGGCAAAATCCAATCCTGCATCAACACCATCATGCTCGTCATCAAAACCATCATCGTGACCATGATCATAATCCTGATCATTATCATCACGCTCATAATGATCATGATCATGGTCATGGTCATGATCATCATCATCATCATAATCATCATCGCCATCACCATCACCATCACCATCATCATCATCATCATCATCATAATTATTATAACCCTCATAATCGTCATAATCACAACCATCGTATGTTTAAAACACAAAATAACAAAATAATACGAACTATATATATATAATTATCATTGACTATTATCATCATCATCCTCATCCTCATCCTCATCATCGACGACGACGACGGCAACAACAACAACAACAGCAGCAGCAGCAGCAACACCACCACCACCACCACCACCACCACCAGCAGCAGCAGCAGCAGCAGCGCCAGCACCAGCACCAGCACCAGCACCAGCACCAGCACCAGCACCAGCACCACCAGCACCACCAGCACCAGCACCAGCACCAGCAACAACAACAACAACAACAACAACAACAACCACAACGGCAACGACAACAACAACAGTAACAACAACAACAACAACAACAGCAACAACAACAACAACAGCAACAACAACAACAGCAACAACAACAACAGCATCATAATCATAAGCAGAAGCATCCCCGCATCAACAAAAACATACAAGTGAGATAAACATCACATCCTATTACCAGCAATATGAATGACAGCATCAAACAGCATCGAGATGTAGAATAGGTCGTGTGTGGCATTTTCTACATCTATAAATATATTACACACATATCATCACAATCACAGAATGACACTAATATCATCACAATTACAATCGACATAATAGACATGGGGATGGGTCAAAACCCTGGCACCTAGTGAACATCAAGTCATAGCTGGGTTAAAATGGATGTGAATAACCCACTAAAAATGGTATTAATAGGTATTGATCCATAGCCATATGTGGTTTCACAAGTTGTGAACCCAGAACAACAAGTTGGCACTTGACTCCAGGATGAGCCAGCAGATGTGGCTGGGAATGCAGCCAGCACTGGTCTGTTCTGGTCTGTTGATCTCCACTAAAATAGGTATTTTTCTCCATAGCCACATGGTTTGGTAAAAACTTTCTGTTCATCAAAACATTGGATCTCTCCGCGACTCCCAGCGGCTCGTCCTTTCATAAGACTGCCACATTCTGGAATCCTCCAGCGGATTTGGGTCAAGGATCCAAAAGGCGGATTACATGAGTACTAAGTGCTACTAGACATGAGTAATTTAGATTACCTTAGCATATAATTCACAAACTTGGATTAATTATGATTAATTTAGATTGACTTTGTATATAGTTCACAACCTCGCGACCGAAACTAAAATGGTCCTCCAATCGCAGCAGCTTCTGAATCTTCATCCGGTGCGGTTCCTGGCCGGTCATCGAGAACTGGACAATCCCTGAAATCATAGAGGTTTCCTATCCCTAAGGATCCATGTATGGAATATTTACCTACATTGGGATTATTTTAAATTACTTTAGGGGTCAATGTAGGTAAATATTCCATACATGGATCCTCTGGGTATGGTTTCCTGTAATTTTTGTTCCCATCATCTAAACCTTGGAGTTTGGTATGGCGCCGTTCCATGACTCTTGGCCTAGGTTTTTTCTGGGCGTATACAATCCCATACCACCCATGCTTGTTCTCCACATTCCTGTTGGAGATTCACATGTGGAACGAAACGAGTTTGTAGCATTTCGTAGCAACATCGCTTGTGGTATCAGGAAACTCAGTCCTCACCAGGACTGAACAATGTTCGATCCAAGATCTCCTGTGAAAGCAATGGGTGGAGCTCGACTGTGTCCGACGATGAACAACCACATGTTTTTGTGTTGAATAGTATGGGTATGTATGGGTAACATCTTCTGTCCTCCGGAAAACTAACATTGATATATACATAGATTATCATAGATTATCATAGATTATCATAGATTATCATAGATTATCATAGATTATTATAGATGTGGAAACCCATGGATTTCGCAGGAAATTTGATACACATGGTGGATTGTCCATCTTGTGTCTTGATACGTGAGATGTCACCACTCAAGCCTTTGCCACTGCCCCTGCATTGGGGCTTGGGCTTCAAAATCAGTATTCATAATAATAGATACAGTAATAGATTGTAATTAGATTATAATTGCTAGTGGATGTAGTGGTAGTTATGGTAGTTATGCTTAATAGATATTAAGAATTATAAGTCCTAATGATGTATCAAACCTTAATCAATCTTAATAACATATATTATCTATAATATATTACCTGGATTGTCAAATCATTTATAAAATAATATATACCCGAATTGACGTGTTAATCTTAGCAACCATATTATGTCAAATTGCGGATCACTTCCCACATGAGCCATCATTGGTGGTTGCCAGTCAGTCCATTCGATTTGAATCCATGTGCAGCCAATGGGTATGTTCAACAAAGGGATTCAACGACTGCTCCCCCCATGAAAATTCGAGCCTTTTCGGTAGGAGATTTGGGACCCACAATCTTGGAAAACACATATCTTTTTGAAACAAGTATCTACAAATATCTACATCAATCTACAATATCTCTTGAAACACCATGTCCCCCCTCCGCGTTCTTTGCGTCTCTACTCGGCAATGCCCCAGATTCAACAAAAACTTCGAAGGCGAAGTTGTGTCCTGCACGTGGCTAACCTCTTCTGTTCCACACTCCACAATGTTGTGGAAAGGTTGAGGACTTTCCCGTGTGACCTCGGGCTGGACAACCCACGACCATGCGATGTGCCAATCTGCCAATCTGGTTTGGAGACGTTTGGAGCAGACTCAGCAAGTTCCGTTTCTGAATTCTTCTGCGGATTGTTTCTACTGGCTATTTGGATCAGGTCCTTTCAGAGTATTCCCAATCCCCAGTCGTGACCCAAATGAAACACCATCAGCCACTGCGCCACTTGGCCACTCAAACCCACAACAGGCTCCATCCTCCCTGAGTTGTCCGAACCCAGTATTCTGGAAATCTCTGGAGCTCTTCTTGTAGTTCATGACCCAATTCCTGCCGCCTGTCCAACTGGATGGAAAAAAAACAGCTTATGTAAATCAGCAAAGATTTGATGTGAAAAAAACATTAAAAAAAAAACACGGTCCCACATAGATTCCAAATGGCCCAGGCTTAACATTTAACATAGGCTTAACTAGCCTAATCTACCCTAACATCCACTTCCATCCACTTCCGAGGTAAAACAGCCTCAAAAACCTGACCGGTGTCCAGCCGTAAGGCTGGTGCCTGGGATCAGTGATGACAACCACATGATGGCTCCTGGCAGGCGGACCCTGGGAAGATATCATGTTTGCTTTTGAATTCCACCATTGAAGCAAAGCACCCATCATGTCACATCAAACAATGGTGGAACTGCTAGTATCCATCAACATCTACGAAACACGCACCGCTTTTTGGTCGGATATTTGCCGTTCAGAAATTCATCCAGAACTCCGACATCAATGCGCAGCCCGTATCTTCAATAGCCTGGCCGCCTGGCCGCCTGGCCACCCCAAAAAAACGTCCCAGTCCCATTCTGCCGCTGAAGTGCCACCCAGGCACTTGTATCTATGAGAATTGCATGCGCCCATGAGCTGTAGCTCCCATAGACAACCCCCAATGTCGAAGTCAGCCAGGGGCTGAAATCCGCTCAAGAAAAGCCCTGTGATGAACCCCAAAATTGCTGCTAGTTTTGGATGTGGATCACCCATTTTAGATCATATATATATATATTATTTATATATATACACGTATGTTCATATATAGGATTTTGACGCATTGCTGTATGTTTTGATTTTGCAATCCTAAACAAATACAAACAGCAAAAACATGCGTGAATCTACAGGGAACACTTATGGCAATGACCTCATTGGTAGTTTTTTTACACCTCCAGTCTTCAATGCGTCTGCAGCTTTGAAAGTGAAGGGGACACACTACATCTTTGATGAGTTTGATCATGTTTTTTTTTGTGGTGTAATTAATTGTTGATAAAAATAACATAATGCCAAATTGATCAACGATATTCATGATTCTGTGTAGTGATGTTGATCAAATGTCTTGATCAAATGTCACAACCTGTCACGGTGAAACCATTCTCCTACATAGCCTTGATGTGCCACAGACCAGGTTCAAGGTGGGGAAACGACCAAGTTGTAACCACCCACAAGGTGGCAGTGAATCACCTCTTTTTTATCGCTGCAAGTCTGATATACGGGTTGATATCTGATTGGTTAGTCGCTGAATGGGAATATCATTGGTTAGTTACTTAGTATTCCCATGAAACATGTTCATTGATATTCCCAATTCATGCGAGAATTGGAAGAATCATCCAAGCCGTCACAGAGTCTTGGCAACAAACCCTGCTAACGACTCACAAAGCACTGACAGAATCAGATATAACCAACTGGAATGAGTATTTGTTGTTAGCCGGTGCCAAGGTGCCAGTGCAGGAAAACAAAAAGATGTGTTGCTTGCGACTAGAATGACACGTTGAAACCATTAAACCAACGATTTTGATGGAGGGACAATGGGGATATCTTCATTGCCCCACTACTGTCTGGCACAATTTTAAAACTTGAGACACCACAATTTGGCGGCTAAAGACGATATCGTAGACTCCAAGAGAACAAACATGATGCCAAGATTGATTGAAAACAAGGTACTGTAGACCCCAAATTCAGAATGCACAAAAATTGGGGCTGGAAAACGTTCTTTATGTTAATATAGCCATGTTCCATGTTAAATCTAAGGGTTTGATTTGAAGATAGCATCATGCAAGATCAACGCATCGAGAAAGCATGTCTTTCGAAGTTATTCAGACAAAAATGTTGAAATTCTCATATGGGCATGTGCTTGAGTGAAGTTAAGCGACGGGAAAACACATAGATACCATTTTACCTCAGGGATAAACATGTTGCTGTGGCTCTTGTAGTAGTTATGACCTACAGTATCCAGTTATGGCCTACAGTATCATATTAAGTCATATTAAGTCATCTTATTCCTTGCGCACGGATAAGGTCTATACACAAAACCTGGGTGAGTGGCACTTTCCATCTTGACATGACCATCACTCGTCGTTGCCTCGAGTCATTCAATAAAGTTATATCGAACATCCGCTGTGAATGTAGATATATAATGTTCCATATCGAAAACGTCCAAAAATGAACAGTTCATATGGGAAAGATTGTGTTTCACAACATTCAGTTCAATGGATTGCTGTATACGGGACAATTTACAGATTTTATAGGAACCCCTGTAATTTTCATGGGAAGGTCCATGGTGTTCCGGTTCTCCCCAGAAACGCCATCCCAGCAGATCGCTGAAATTCGCGCTGTTTCCATCAGCCGCGACTCGCTCCGACCTTCGGCGCTGCCTGGCACGTTTTGGGATATCATTGCTGTAGCTATCAAACTTCAGTTGAAAGAAATCTACATATCCGGTTCATAATTATATCATGATACTGAAACTGTATACGTATATTATATATATTATATATATTATATATATATATATTATATATTATATATATATTATATATATATTATATTATATATATATTATATTATATATATATATTATATAATATATATATATATATATATTATATATATTATATATATATTATATATATTATATATATTATATATATTATATATATTATATATATTATATTATATATATATTATATATATTATATTATATATATCACATATATATATAAGCTAGTATGTACATACACACATTATCACACATTCTGCTTCTTCCAAATCAAGATTTCAGGCTCTCTGCATGACCCGAAGAATCAGCCATCAGCCATCATTGGGTGTAAACACTGCAGAGGGTTAAATCTGCAGTACCCCTTTGAGTGCTCAAAGGTACTCCTACATAAACATGATTTTTTTTTGGACCATTATGTCCCGCAGAATCCCACTAGATCAGCGACGAGGCGAAAAGGGCCACCTACTTCAGCGACTGAACTGCTTTCTGGATCTCCTTCTCTCGGTCGTAGTATTTGTCCTCGGGTCGCGTCGCAGAACGGCCATGCAATACTGTCAAGTTGGTTGGTTACCCTCTGGTCATGACCAACGGTTTACGAAGTGAAAAATCTCCATTTTCAATATGTTAATTGGTTAATCATCAGTGTTATTCATCTATAAATGGACAATAATGGACAATGTTCATCAATTTTCCATAGCTATCTTAAATAACCAGCAGGTAACAGTTGGTCCAACAGTTGAACATCATACACCGCCGAGTCTCCGTTTTCAGCTGTCCTCTGGGCATATTTTCCATTGACAAAAAAAACAGGATCCCTTGAAAAGTAAACAAAGTGTTGCTGTAAGTCATGATCAGCAATATGTTCTTAGCTTCATCAATCATCTTCATTTTTTTTCTCTGACCCCAAAGTGCTAATTCATGGCCAATCTGGCCAACTTCAGACATCCTGCACAAGTTGTTCGCTTTTATATAAGTTGGTTAGGAATCCTCTATATATCCAATATATTCTCCATAAACTATATATTCCTAATCTAATGGTGTGGTTTTTCTATTCCCATTAACTGCAAAAACCAAGGTTGTGTTGTGAAGTACACTACCCATCCAGTTGGTTTACGATGCTTAAAGTAATGTGGTAAACTCAATCATTAACCATCTTCAATATTATAACGAATGGATGATATATATATACATATACATATAATTATATACAATCCCATACAATCGCTAAAGAGGGTGATTAGATCCCACTACCAGCTACATCCCAATGTCAAATCCCAGGATCAATCATCATTTTCTCTATTTTTCATGGTGAATTCCTACCTGTTGGTGCTTAAAGCGCCCCGTTTGATGCACCCATCCAGGCGCCTTCAACTTCTGTGGGATCTTCTTCAACAACTCCTGAGGGAAGATGCGCAGCAAGGTCCATGCCTCAGAGGTCGCGATGGAACTGGAGTTTACTTTTCGATCCTTTTGGGGGATGCTATATTCTGTATGTATGTATGTATGTATGTATTTATGTATGTATGTGTGTGTATGTATGTATGTATGTATTTATGTATGTATGTGTGTGTATGTATGTATGTATGTATTTATGTATGTATGTATGTATGTATGTATTTATGTATGTCTGTATGTATGTATGTATGTATTTATGTATGTCTGTATGTATGTATGTATGTATGTATTTATGTATGTCTGTATGTATGTATGTATGTCTGTGTGTGTATGTATGTATGTATGTATGTATGTATGTATGTATGTATGTATTTATGTATGTCTGTGTGTGTATGTATGTATGTATGTATTTATGTATGTCTGTGTGTATGTATGTATGTATTTATGTATGTATGTGTGTGTATGTATGTATGTATGTATGTATGTATGTAATGTATGTATGTATGTATGTATGTATTTATGTATGTATGTATGTATTTATGTATGTCTGTATGTGTATGTATGTATGTGTATGTATATATATATATACACATTATGTATACATACATATGTGTCATTTTCTGTCCATGTGTGTGTAGCAATAATGTAAATGGCCAGGAACTATAACCACCAAATCTTGTGGAAATGCAGCACCCATCATCCCCTTACCCGCCAGTGATCAAACATGCTTGGCTTCAAACCCAGTATAGATGATTTTCCTGGCTGGAAACCTCCATTTCGTTCCGGGGGCTATGTTTGATTACCGCACGGCAATCATACCAATAATGTTTTCGGGACAACTGTCGAAAAAAAAACATGTCCCAAAACAATCCTATAATGATCCTGCAATTGTTGTATATATAATGTTCCAAACAATCGTCTCATCACAATCAATAGGAATATATAGTAAGATAATACATATATATATAGTGATTATTATCAATGCAGGTTAATGTTGGGTCCTGATTAGTACCTAGGGTCGCTATTGTGGCAATTTTTCCAAATTATTCTGAAACTCATGTATTGTTTGGAGGGTTCGCTTTTGTGGCAAAACAAAATTGGGAGAGCCCTTTTTTTTGCAAAAAAAACTGTGATTGCTGAGACGCATTTTTTTCTCAAAAACGCTGTAGCTCAGTCAAGGTAGGTTTGTTTGCTAGGTTCACTATTGCAGCAAGCTGTGCCAGAGCAGCTCCTGGAAGCCCAGAAGGGATGCAAGCCTTTGCCAAAATTGCCAAATTCAAACTCCAAGCCTTTCCCAAAAGAACCAATCCCTTATTAAACCCTTATTAAAGAACAGCTTTTCCACAATTTTCCAAGGCCCTGGACCAGGAGAGGCTCCATTTCACTTTAGTAGGTTTGTTTGCTGGGTTCACTATTGCAGCAAGCTGTGCCAGAGCAGCCCCTGGAAGCCCAGAAGGGAAGCAAGCCTTTTCCAAAGGCAATTGCCAAATTCAAACTCCAAGCCTTTCCCAAAGGAGCCAATCCCTTATTAAACCCTTATTAAAGAACAGCTTTTCCACAATTTTCCAAGGCCCTGGACCAGGAGAGGCTCCATTTCACTTTAGTAGGTTTGTTTGCTGGGTTCACTATTGCAGCAAGCTGTGCCAGAGCAGCCCCTGGAAGCCCAGAAGGGAAGCAAGCCTTTTCCAAAGGCAATTGCCAAATTCAAACTCCAAGCCTTTCCCAAAGGAGCCAATCCCTTATTAAACCCTTATTA